ATTTCTGTACATATGTTATTTTACCCTGATGCCTGATACATGTAAGTGTCGGACTTACGGGTTGTCGGATTATTGGGCTGTCGGATTATTGGGTTGTCGGACTAATGGGTTGTCGGACCAATGGGCTGTCGGAACAATGGGCCGTCGGACTAATGAGCTGTCGGACTAATGGGCTGTCGGAGTAATGGTGTGTAACCGTTGAAATCTAATCATATGTAAAGAAGATTTTATGAACTTAAGTATGTGAGGAATTTGTTTACATAATATTATCTGATTATTGGTTTCATGAATTTACCAATGAAAGGACTTCTATTAGTAAGTACAGTATACAGATTGTCGACTAAAGTGAAGACAAAATTAAAGTTTTAGGTGCGCTGATTGCTGTGTACCTGATTATTATGTTTCAAATCTCCCAATATCTGATTACCATTGATTACTGGAAGTGAAAATGACAGTATGTCATTAAAGAGTTGAAATAGACATATATAAAAATATAAGGAGATGTGGTATGTTGGCAATGAGACAACTATCCACCAAAGATCAAATGAAGTGGATAAAAGCAATGATAGGCAATGGTACGGTCTTCAACTATGAGAAAAACCCATACCATATAGTCAGCTATAAAAGGCTCCACCATGAAAAAATATAAAACAATTCAATTGAGAAAAATAACAGCCTAATTTATAACAAAACAATTTTCGAAACACAAATATGACAGGCATGAACCAACGACAACCACTAAATTACAGGCTCCTGACTTTGGACAGGGACATAAAGAATGTGGCAGGGTTAATAATGTTTGTGAGCGCTCAAGTCCTTCCCCCTAACCTGGGACAGTGGTGCACCAACACAACATAAAAACAATCTATAAAAATCAGTTGAAAAGGGCTTACTTATCTAATCATATACATGTATTCATATTACATCTACACCATTTGGCCTCTGGTGGATAGTTGCCTCTTTGGCAATCATACCCTGTCTGATTATATTGTATATTCAGAGTAATAGATACTATGTGATCTTTTCAAAAGAAAAAAATCCTCCCATTCATCCTACTCAAAGATCAATTTCTTCTGTTTACAGTGGGGAAAAAAATACTGCTATAAGTGGCGTTCAACAACAACAAAGCAAGCAATCAATCAATCAATCATTTGGACCTCAAAATCATTTCAAGGTACATGTACAATGTATATGTATTTAATTTTATAACTAAGCTAACCTAAATATCATGTGGTTATACTCATTTAAATGCTTTGAACAATATCATGCATATAGTCTATAAGAGTAATACACTTCTTGGAGCCTCATGTTTGTATATTTTATTGTTTTTGAATTGAAACTTTTCCCCTTTAACTGTAATGCTTTATTATCTGAACAAAGTTCTGTTACATGAAAGGTGTAATGTTTTTGTCAGGTTTAAATATTTTTGTACACAGCCAGTTACTCAAATGTGAAGTGAGTAGATGTGAGTAAAAAGATTTATTACCTGCATGAGGGTCTGGATGGGGGTTTACAGAATACAGAATATGATGAATTGGACAAACATTTAAACAATAAATAAATATGAGAAAAAAAGAAAGATAAAGAATAACAGGCTGCTAAAATATAAAGAATACAGAAAAATTTAATGATCCAAAAATATAAAGAATATAGAAAAATTTAATGATCCAAAAATAGAAAGAATAGAAAAAGAAGACATGAAGGACCCCCATCCAGACCCTCCTGTTTGGTCATGTGATTAACATGTTAGAATTTGGCTCCACATTAGTTTGATCTTTACTGGGACAAAGACTTGTATATTTTCCTCAGATATTTTTTGGGGACATGAAGTATATCTAAAGTTTTATGAGAAGTTTAAGGTAATTATATAATACAAAGTATTTATTGCTTCAATGTGATCTGTTTTGGATTTTAAATTTTGAGTTCCAGAAAATAACTTTTGAAGAATTGATTGATTTCACAATTTTTTCATTTAGAATTAGGCTGGATGTGAAACAAAAAGATGAATTAACACCATTTCTTCAAGTGAATCAATTTTAATACTAGAGTAGAGAGGTAAAACACCTTATGTCTACAAGCTTTACAAAAGTAACAACTTTAAGCTGTTACTGTAACCATGTAACTTGACAATGAATTGCTTACAAGTAAGAGGCCCCTCATGGGGGTGTCCAAGTAATCACATAATCAATTTTTTGGCCAATATAATCACATAATCATTAATTAATTTTTTAAACAAGATAATCAAATAATCAAAAATTCAGTCCTAGATTATCAAATAATCAAATAATCATGAAATATTTGGTCTGGTAATCAAATAATCACTATCAAAACGGCCAAGTAATCACATAATCAAAAACCCATGAGGAGGCTCAAGTAATATCTACATCAAAGGGAATAGAGGTCCCATTCAAAGCGACCATTTAGTAACTCGGGCGGATCCTGGATTTTTGAAAGGGGGCCTTGAATTCCATAAAAATTTATAAACCGCCCAAGTGAAGGGACGGGTGACAAATTTATGGAAGATTTTATGCTAAAAATCATAAATAGTTAAAACATGATATATTTGGGTGATCAAAAGGGGAAAAGGGGGGGGATGCGTACACCTTCTCCCCTTGATCCACCACTGACAGCTTTACCAATTGAATTTGGGTGAAATTTTGGTACTGGTTCGGAACAACCTACGAAATGGGTTTATGCCAAAAACCTTGTAGTCTAGTGTCATTTGACTAAATGAGTATCGAAATGTAAAGAGGTGAGTTTGACATCTTTCCTCATCAAGTAGATTATTCTTATCTATATTACAGTTTTCATTGACTTGTTTTAATATCAAAGTTTTTTCATTTCAGTTCTTAGATATCATGAACTTATACTAGTCATCTAAATTGGTGTTCCGATGTATTTAGGAGGAAAGCCAGACAGTATATTACAACTCCATTATATAGACCCAGTTTATATAGGGAAACATGTAGTCAATAGTAAATTAAAAAAAGTTATACGAACCATTTTTTTTTTGCTTTTTTGATAGGTATAACAGGTTAATCAGATTATTAGCCATTTCAAAATCCAAAGCATTGCTGGTAATTTCATTGTTCGTTCCCAAAAATGAAAAAAAAGTCACATCATTGGTTAAATTTCCATTGTTTAGGATGTTTTAAACCAATCACAACTCTTTGATGTACACTTTAGAAAATATTACCCAGAATGCATTTGATTCTGAAATGACGAATTATAATAAAACTTTATTCCAAGAGCAAAGACAACTAACAGAATACACAAATACATTATTAATGAAAAAACATTACCTAGTAAATCTACCAATACTTAGAATTTTTACATTATATTTTTTTTAAGTTACACAATATATAAATATAAAAGTGTACATGTATACATGATAAATTGTAATACAGTACAAAATTAATTACAATATAGCACATGATAGGAGCGGGAAATGATATACTGTAAGAACACAATTTATGAAAAACATATGTACTGTAAACATTTAAATAAGTTTTTTCTGCTGATTTAAAAACATATACCCAAATTATTTAATTCTTATATATTTGAGAGGGTTAGCAACTGGGTTAGTTAATTGGTATGCCAATGGATTTCTCAGATAATTCTTTTTGATATACAATGTACATTTCCCAGATTTGGCTATCATTATGTTTTGGACATTAAAGTATAAAGTGGTATGACATCTTTGATAGAGCTTAAGGATGTTCGCTCTTCTTGCTTTTGAATTTTTGCAAGATATTCGGAATCCTCTGGTTTTATCCATGTAGTGCCATTAAAAATTTTGCCCACTATCCCCTACTTTTCTTTCCATAATTTAATAACATATAGTTTAAAATGTCATCTTTGAAAATCTTATAAAATCCTTGTTATTTTTTCATTGTTTTTGAAAGAAAAAAGGTGCCAATGTTTTTTCTGATTTTTTAGTTTCTTTATTTATATACTATCAATTTATAACAGTCTTTTAAAAAGCTAGAGGAGCGAACATCCTTAAATCTTACAGTTTGTACATAATATATATTATTGTCAGCAACATTTTAATATCTGCCTGTTTCCTATGATGCTTAAATTATGAGTTGATATACAGTATTTACAAGTATATGCTTTGTGTTTATAGTTTACATGTCTATCTAGACATTGCAAAAGATAGAACTAAGCCAGAGCTAAAAAGTTTGAACATTTTTTTTATGTATGTCTATGAAACTGTACTTTCTGTGGCTGCTGAAATACAAGTCAGTTATAAAGACATTTAATTTTACTTATTCTGATTACAGAAAAACCTATACAATTGAAAACTTTGAAGGCCCAGCAGGATTAAGATCCAGAGAATTTACAAGACTGAATCCACAAAACATCACAATTTGATGAATTGTTAAACCACAGCAACATGAAGAAGACCTTTTATGAAAGGACAAAGCCTTTTAAAAAGGTAAATTTATATGAAACAAAAAATAATTTCATAATAGACTTATAATTTTCATATAACCGACTATTGACTCCTAAATTTACAATTTGACAGGTTACTTACTCTGTGGTAGGACATCCTGGTACTAAGTCAAGTAAGAGCAACGTAAAGAAGTAAAATCAAGCTTTCAATCAGTACAATTTTGGGGGAAAATTAACTGCTTTATACTTTCTTTACACGATAAAATCATCAGAAAACAGTAAACTTTCCCATCAAATTACGCTGATTATATGTTTGATTTTACTTCTTTTGGTTGCTCTTACTTGACCGAGTACCAGGATGTCCTACCACAGAAAAGGTAACCTGTCGAAAAATTATATAATCCAGAGTCAAAAGTCAGTAATTTGAAAAGAGTTAATTAGAAAGAGTTGACAAATATTGAACTATATACTTATAATAAAGGAACAGAGATGGAAGGGGTCTTTCAAAGTAATGTTATTTGAAATCTTTTAGCTTACAAATCTGAACAGAAAGAAAGAATAGATGACTCGTTTTGACAGTATACATAATAGTTAAGGTATTAATAAGGAGATGTGGTATGATTGCTATTGAGACAACTATATCTACAGCAAGACCAAAACATAAGGTATTAATAAGGAGATGTGGTATGATTGCTATTGAGACAACTATATCTACAGCAAGACCAAAACATAAGGTATTAATAAGGAGATGTGGTATGATTGCTATTGATACAACTATATCTACAGCAAGACCAAAACATAAGGTATTAATAAGGAGATGTGGTATGATTGCTATTGAGACAACTATATCTACAGCAAGACCAAAACATAAGGTATTAATAAGGAGAGGTGGTATGATTGCTATTGAGACAACTATATCTACAGCAAGACCAAAATATAAGGTATTAATAAGGAGAGGTGGTATGATTGCTATTGAGACAACTATATCTACAGCAAGACCAAAACATAAGGTATTAATAAGGAGATGTGGTATGATTGCTATTGAGACAACTATATCTACAGCAAGACCAAAACATAAGGTATTAATAAGGAGATGTGGTATGATTGCTATTGAGACAACTATATCTACAGCAAGACCAAAACATAAGGTATTAATAAGGAGAGTTGGTATGATTGCTATTGAGACAACTATATCATGTATATCTACAGCAAGACCAAAACATAAGGTATTAATAAGGAGATGTGGTATGATTGCTATTGAGACAACTATATCTACAGCAAGACCAAAACATAAGGTATTAATAAGGAGATGTGGTATGATTGCTTCTGAGACAACTATATATCTACAGCAAGACCAAAACATAAGGTATTAATAAGGAGATGTGGTATGATTGCTATTGAGACAACTATATCTACAGCAAGACCAAAACAAAAGGTATTAATAAGGAGATGTGGTATGATTGCTATTGAGACAACTATATCTACAGCAAGACCAAAACATAAGGTATTAATAAGGAGATGTGGTATGATTGCTATTGAGACAACTATATCTACAGCAAGACCAAAACATAAGGTATTAATAAGGAGAGTTGGTATGATTGCTATTGAGACAACTATATCATGTATATCTACAGCAAGACCAAAACATAAGGTATTAATAAGGAGATGTGGTATGATTGCTATTGAGACAACTATATCTACAGCAAGACCAAAACATAAGGTATTAATAAGGAGATGTGGTATGATTGCTTCTGAGACAACTATATATCTACAGCAAGACCAAAACATAAGGTATTAATAAGGAGATGTGGTATGATTGCTATTGAGACAACTATATCTACAGCAAGACCAAAACAAAAGGTATTAATAAGGAGATGTGGTATGATTGCTATTGAGACAACTATATCTACAGCAAGACCAAAACATAAGGTATTAATAAGGAGATGTGGTATGATTGCTATTGAGACAACTATATCTACAGCAAGACCAAAACATAAGGTATTAATAAGGAGATGTGGTATGATTGCTATTGAGACAACTGTATCTACAGCAAGACCAAAACATAAGGTATTAATAAGGAGATGTGGTATGATTGCTTCTGAAACAACTATATATCTACAGCAAGACCAAAACATAAGGTATTAATAAGGAGAAGTGGTATGATTGCTATTGAGACAACTATATCTACAGCAAGACCAAAACATAAGGTTATAACAGCTATAGGTCACAGAACAATAATATCCTTAATCATAAAAATAAATAGTTTTACAGGATAATATTAATATTTGGTTGGATATTTGTGACTTGTTTAGATAAATATATAAGTAATTGATTAAAGGATATGTATAAAGAAAACATATGATTGTCTTGGATGGAATAAACATTTTATAAAGAACTTTAAATAATATAGAGTTTTAAGTTTCAATCCTTTAAAATATTTTAAACAAAACTGATATTTTAGAGAAACCCAACAACTGAGCAGAGCGCAGAACAGTTTTCAATGACCTTGAAGAGTAAGCAATGTGTACAGTAAGACAGCTATCTCTGTAATTACCAAAGAGTATGATAAGAGTCTTGTCTATAATAATACATGGTGAGTACTTTTTGTTGCTTAAAAATTATACATCACAATATTAAATTTTTGTCTTATATTGGCATTGATAATCAATGAGGCAGTAACCCAAATGAAAATAAATAACCAAAGACATCTATATGTCTTCAACTATAGACTGGACGGTTTACAACAATCTAAAAGATTTGTGAATAAAATGAACAGAGACTAACAAAAATCTTATGTGACCACCAAATTCTGACCAACAGATGAGCATATATGGCAGAGTTATTCAATTTTCTTTTTATATCTCAAATCTCACCGTCAGTAAAGATTTCTTGCATTTATATTTTGAAAGTAAGCTCAAAGTTCTTGACTTGTTGATATGAAATCTTGTGCAATGCTTAATATCATACCATACTACTGATAAACAAAATTTCATGCAGAAATTTTTGTGTATAGCTTCAAACTTTAAATTAGCTAACTTTATTTCTTTCTAAAAAAATACCAGATGCAATTAATTATTTAACAATTTTTTTTGTTGAAAATCCATAATTTAACACCAAGACACAAATGTCAATCTTATTATTTCAGTTAACGCTATCTCATTGGCCTTTAAAATTATTTATTTTTCAATTGCTCTGGTAATTTTTCAAAATTTTACAAGTGAATGGAAGTTGTTTTGATGAAGTTTTAACTTTAATTCAATGGGAGATAACTTTGACCAAAATGTTGAAATTTTGAAAACTCAATGGTTACTAACTTATGTGTGAGAAGCTTTCAGATTATCATTTCATTCAAACAATTAAGAAAATTTTTGTTCCCATTTGTTTTCTGCGATAGAAAGTTACACTTTTCTTATGTAAATCGATCATTGCTTCTAAATGTTTAGCCTTCTAATTTTTACTAAGTTGTGTCCAATATGTCAGTTCTAAGATATTCTCCACATATTGTAACATATAACTGAAAAGGATTTTTTTTAATTTTAATTTATTTATCATATGAATGTCAATATTTAATAAATTTATTCAAGTGAGTTATTTCACGTTTTTTTCTTTTTTTTTTGATAATTGGTTGTTTTTTAAAACATTTTTTTTTAACAATACTTTATTTTTCTTTTCTCTTTTATTACTTTGTTAGTGTCTTAGGTATTGGTAATTGATAACTAAGATTAAGAAATGCAGAAATTGACAATATAAACATTACCCTTTGCCAAGCTTACAAAAAATTCAACAAAAGATTTTTTTTTAAATTTAAAAAAAAGAGGCTATGATGTAGGATGCCATTCTTATACAAAACATTTGAATGCATGTAGACCCTCATCAGCACACTAACATGTCAAATGTGTATCCCACATCATAAAAACCTCAGCACATTAATATGTCAAATGTGTATCCCACATCATAAAAACCTCAGCACACTAATAGGTCAAATGTGTATCCCACATCATAAAAACCTCAGCACACTAATATGTCAAATGTGTATCCCACATCATACAAACATCAGCACACTAATATGTCAAATGTGTATCCCACATCATTAGATAAATATGATTTTTATAAATGTTCAAATACAAGAAGAATTTTCATTAAAAGATTTTGACTCATTTTTACTCTGTCAAGACTATTTCACTCACACTGCACTTTGACTGATACACAAAGACTTCCGACAAACAAAATATCAAAGTTGAATGGCACTAGTGAAGACTTGGTTGAGGACCTTGAAAGCACTTTGTCATTGCTGGTATTTTATCATCTTTGACTTCTAGAGTGAGGTCTCACAAAGAAACAATTAGTTCGTTTTTTGCATTGAAATGTTCAGTGCATAATAACTGCTTAGCATCTGATTGAATTTGACTGAAGACTTATTTTTAGTTTCTACACAGTAAAAATGAGTTTGATCAAAAAACAGCTTAACCTATTTTAAGTGTTAAGAAGATTTGATTTCAATAATTGATAAAGTTTTTACTATTTTCTACTTTTCTTAGCAAGGCCTAGGGTTTGTGCACTTAAGAACATATTTTTTTTTCACAAGAAGATTGTCACTAGTACTCAATAAACATGAAAGAATCAAACAAGTTTGTAAAGCTAAGCTTAAGGTTGATATGTTAGACACACTTACGTGCTATACCTTTTTAGAATTTATGGTTTAAATTGTTACATAAATTACTTAATTATACTGTGTAATTTAACCAGCCTCCATTCGCTTTTTAAAAGTTTGAAAAAATACAATTAGAATATTTATCACTTAAAGAGGCATAGCCGCTATAATTTAGACAGAAATAACAGAATTTTTATTCTAACCATTAATTAAAGTGTAATAATAAAGTAATAATTTGCTATTATCAGCCAGTTTGGTTATATTTTGTAAAAATGAGCTAAAAAACATTGCTGATATATTATTGTTTTCCAAGACAATAATTCAACTTTGGTCTGTATGCATGCAACATTTCATTTGACACATAGTATTTGATAGTTGCACATATGCTCTGTATGGTCAGATATTAAATAAAAAGAATGTCAAAATAAAATAAAATGCTTCGCTGAGCGCAGCCTGATATGACCGCAGAGGTCTATCCCTGAACAGTTGGGGCAAGTTTGGACACAATATTCAAGCTTGATACTGTCTGAATTTGGATTGTGATCAAATTTTTGACATAATATAGGTTTCTGACACAAAATAAATGTGGTCAAAGATCATAAAAATCTATTGCGCAATACTGTGCGTTTGCGTAATACTTTCAATTGAAGATTTCTTCTTGAAACTTTTCAAAACATTTGAAATTTCAAAAATTTTGAAGAAAAAAAAATTGGAAAAAAAATTCCCCCCCTCCCCCCAATCTTTTTGATCCCCAATGGAGTAATTACCCCCAAACTCAATCACAGCCTTTCCTTTGAGGTATGGAACCTTGTAGTACAATTATAGAGAGATCCATACCATTAAACACAAGTTCTTGTCTGGAAACTAGAAAAATGCTTGTTTTTGGCCCCTTTTTTGTCCCTTATTCCTGCATGTTTAGGGCAATTACCCCCAAACTCAATCACAGCCTTTCCTTTGTGATGTGATATGAAACCTTGTGGTACAATTTCAGTGAGATCCATATACTTACACACAAGTTATTGTCCGGAAACTACAAAAATGCTGGTTTTTGGCTCCTTTTTGGTCCCTAATTCCTTAACTGTTGGTACCATAACCCCAAAAATTAATCCCAACCTTTCTGTTGTGGTATTAAATCTTTTTGTAAAATTTCATAGAGATCCATTCACTTAAACTAAAGTTATTGTCCGGAAACCAAATGTGTCTTCGGACGACGACAACATCATAGCATTATATGAACCCAAAAAATTTTTTGGCGGTCGTATAAAAAGAGAGCCATCATGAAGAACGGTTTTTTCTGTGTAATGCCTATATATATATAAATAAGATTTGGTATGAGTGCCAATGAGACAAGTCTCCATACAAGTCACAAAATATAAAAAAAAATAACAATTATACGTCAAATTGTATATATATACATATATATTTATCTTTCATTTCAGAGTTCACCCACAGATGTTTAATTTTTTATTTTGATTTTGCAGATGCAGCCGAGAGGATGTTTCAGTCGTAGACCTTGAATATGGCTCCGTTGTAGCAGACTAGGGAGAGTGGCATATAGTTTCCGCAACTCTATACAACAGTAGCAAGATCACTCCGCTCTGAGCTTGTTAAAGGGCCTGTTTGATGGAAGTGACACCAACGTTCTCCAAAACTCTACTAATTTATTAATTTTATTTTTGTTACAGGATCATGCAGCCGGGAGGAGGATGTTTCAGTCGTAGACCTTGAATATGGCTCCGTTGTAGCAGACCAGGAAGAGTGGCATATAGTTTCCGTAACTCTATACAACAGTAGCAAGATCACTCCGATCTGACCTTGTTGAAGGGCCTGTTTGATGGAAGTGACACCAACGTTCTCCAACACACTACTAATTTGTAAATTTTATTTTTGTTACAGATGCAATCGGGAGGAGGATGTTTCAGTCATAGATCTTGGATATGGCTCCGCTGTAGCAGACCAGGGAGAGTGGCATATAGTTTCCGTAACTCTATACAACAGTAGAATGATCACTCCACTCTGAACTTGTTAAAGGGCCTGTTTGATGGAAGTGACACCAACGTTCTCCAACACACTACTACTATAAAAATTTTATTTTTTGTTACAGATGCAGCCAGGACAAGTGGCATATATATATTCACTAGTCCATACAATAGTAGCAAGGTGAATCTATTCTAAGCTTGTTAGACAGCGTGCTTAGATGGATTGGACAACAAGTTTCTCCAACAAATCACTAATCTTTATTATTTGTTTCCATTACAGAGTTCTTACAGAGATGTATAGGTATACTGTATTAATTATTTCGGTCTTTATATGTCCTTTGGGTGTTATGGTTTCTTACAGAAATAGCTTGGTATTTTTGTCAATGGGATAAAACACACAGAAGACTAAACAAAACCAAAAAAAAAATGAACAATAGTCTATGAAACACTACACTGAAAGAAAAGAAAAACATATGACACCAACCCATCTAAAGACGAGGTATGGTCTCAGGCACTGAGCACCAACCAAACCAATGACCAGTGATGCTCTCAGACACCAAGCACAAACCCACCCAAAGACCAGGTATGATCTAAGGCTCTGAGCACCAACCAAACCAATGACCAGTGA